GGAATGCCAACTGGCAGGTGAGACTTGGAAGGTGAATGGCTAATGCCAAAGTCTCCTGAAATTTACCACTTCTTGACAATTAAGTTCAGTAATTTTGGGGGTTCAATTTATCCCCACAGAGAATAGAGAAGTTCTCTCTAGAGAATTTGAGCACATAATTTAGGGGTTTTTTTCCCCCTCAGAGTTTGCATTTATTTCTTTTTATTGAGCTAAAATCTTTTACCAACTTCAAGATCGTGGAGACTATGGGTTTTTGTGTGTGTGTTTTTTTAATTGTGATAAGAATAGCCAACATGAGATCTATCCTCTTAACACATATTTAAGGGTACAATACATTATCGCTGACTCTAGGTAGAATGTTGTACAGTTCTGTTGTACAGAACTCTAGGACTTATTCATGTTGCTTAACTGAAACTTTATGCCTATTGATTAGTAACCCTCTACTTCCTCATCCTCCCAGCTCCTGGTAACCACCATTCCATTCTTTGATTCTATGAATTTGACTATTTTAGATGCCCCATATAAGTGGAATTTTTCAGTAGTTATCTTTCTGTGGCTGACTTATTTCCTGAGTATAATGTCCTCCGGTTTCATTCATGTTGTTGCATACTGCAAGATTTCCTTCTTTTGTAGGGCTGAACGGTATTAAGTTGCAAATACATACCACTTGGCGAGGATGCAGAGAAATTGGAACCCTCACACACTATTAGTGCGGCTGCTGTGGAAAACAGTATGGAGGTTCTTCAAAAAATTAAAAATAAAACTATCATATAATCCAGCAATCCCATATCTGAGTATTTAACCAAAGGAGTTTCAATCAGGATCTCAAAAAGATATTGGCATCTGCATGTTCATTGCTGCATTATTCCGAATGACCAAGATGTGGAAACAACCTAAATGTCCATCAAGAGATGAATGGTGTGTTTATCTTTCCACTGTATTAACAAAGCTCAAGGTCATCAACAGTCTGGTTGCTAATATACATTTCTTCATTAATAAATTTTGGGTGACACCAGAAGAATCCCAGTGATTCTATTTGCAAAAGAATTTTGAGGCTACCAGAGATCAGGTTTAACTTCTGAAGACTGCCTTCTAAATCATGAAGAAATTACTCTCAGAAAGCAAGCAACTCACTCTTTAGGGAGAATAAACTGAAAGACATGTGTCTTGCTTTGAGGCATATGACACATCACAGTGATAATTATGTATACCAAATAGCTGTCCAGCTCAGTCACTAAGGACCTAGCCTGGTACACTGAGACTCAAAGACAAAGACCATCTAGCCAACATGAGTGGAGCCATCCAAAGTTGGGACGGAAAGAGCTATGGTCCTGAATGAGTCTAGACAGATCAAATCCTGGAGGAGGGAGACAACTTACATCACCGTGACCCTAATTTACTGCCACTTCTAGAGGAATATTTATAACCATTCCCTCAGGACAGGGAGACTGCAATTATCTCTTCTATTCTGCCATCCTTGATTCCTTCAATCTCCACTTTTTAAAAAACTTGCTAGTCAGGTCAGAAATATAGAGTAGATGGTGATAAGGAGAGTTAACAGTTATATCTGAGTTCCTAATGTCTTCTGCCCCCAGGATTCTATAAAATGGAGATTCCCAACCTTTGTAACTTGTGGTACTCTATCATTAATTGACCTGGAAATAAGTTTTCTAGAAGAATTTTTGAGTCATAGACAAAGAAGTCACTGTGTAGTGTGGTTTCCAATCCCACAAGTAATATGAAACCTGCTGCCTCTCATTAGACTGAAAAACCATGAGAATCTACAAGATAATATCTACAGAAGCAAATGCTCAACTAGCTTAGAAAAAATGAACAGCATATATTCAACATGCTATTAAAAACTTTTTGTCACCCCAAGACAAAACAGTTCCTTTGAATCACAGAATTAACAATATGACAACAAAATGATTATAAAGCCAGAATTTTTTTTTCTTTTCCATTGTGGTTTATTACAGAATATTGAATATAGTTCCCTGTGCTATACAATAGGATCTCGTTTATCCACTGTATAAAAAATAGTTTCAGAATTTGTTTAAGTTAAAAAAATCTGATATCATTCCTACATCAACATCACAGCCCTTTGTACATTCCCTTAGTTTACCTTTTTATGTCCTTACATAGCTCAAATATCTGTATTTTCCTATGTGCCAGCATCATATAAGAACATCAATAAAAACATAATTTCAAAAGGAAAAAACTCTTGTGTGGCTAGACACTGTAGAACAGTTTCCAAGGGCTTTGCTAAAGTTATGGCTTATGTTTTTTTGTGTTCCACATGCGCTGCCAGCCTTTGAGTGTTTATCACTGCTGTGCATGTTTGCTGAACACTGGAGGGGAGGCCCGCCAAAGAGGATTTGAGATGGCTCAGAAGAGCCGGAGGATTAAGAAGTGCACAGAGATTTCAAAGAAACAGGTAATAAGAGAGACCAAGGTCTAAAAGAGAGACACTGAGCAAATTTTGAAACGCTCACATCAAACCCAGGTAAGAGTGAAAAAAGCCATTTTTATCTCATAACCAGCCTCTCTCCTTCAGCTCGTGGAGAAAGCTCTGTGGTGCCACATCTCTCCGATGCTGGCAAAATTACAACCCAATCATAACCTTCACGAGCAAGACGTATCCTGCTTGAGACCTGTTCAAATCATTAGGAACGCTGAGACTTGGACTACAGAACACCTACCCTCGACGTCTGTCTTCCAGATGCCAAGCCTCACCCACCACCCTCTTCAACAAGTGCAAACCCATTTCAGAAGGAGAGGGCACTGAATCCATCTTGAAAGGACTTGCTCTAAGTTTCCAAGCTGACTCTTGGGCCCTTTAGCTTACCCCTCCAACAGAGAAGCCCATGGTGTGTCGGCATGCGTTCATATAACCAAGCTTGGCCCACGGAATATTTACTTAGTGTTCATAACTAGATATACAAAGGGTGTGAAGAGTACACCAAGACATCAGCCTTACTCAATTCCCTGCCTACGGTGGACCAACTTGGTTTGCTTTTCAAAGCCTAGTCTAAGCATCTCAAGAGTCCCATCTCTTCCTTGGAAGGGGCTCCTTTCCCAGCGGGCCTGCCCCACCCAGCTGGGCGCATGCTCACGTCTGCCCGCCTTCCTCACCTGTGCACCTGCAGGTCCGGTCGAAGAACTTCCGTGGCCACCGCTCTCGGTCGTCCTGGTTACGCAGGACGTAAGGACCGCTCCAGGGCCTGGTGTCGGTCTGCACCTCCGCGCACTGGCCCCGGCCCTCCCGAGAGCCGCAGACGTCGGCCGTGTCGGCGCCCAGCGGCGGGCAGCACTCCTTGGCCTGCAGGCTGCCCACCGTCATGCAGACCCGGGGGAACTGCGCCCGCACCCGCGGCGGGAGCGCACAGCCCAGGCAGCTGAGCAGAAGCCCCCATCGAAGGGTGCTCATGGCTTTATAATCAGGAGGCCTCTCGCCTTCCACTCCTCGCCTCTCTCCTGCTTTCTTCTTGTCTTCCACTCGAGCTCTGGAGCATTCACCCAGTTTTTGATTTTTGTTCTTTGGGGATTTGCAGTTTGGGGCGTGTATTTTTGTTTCACGTTCTATTCCTCCCTTCTTGAAAAAAAGACCCACAAAAATTACAGAACCTGCCTGTGTGCACGTGTGTACATGCACATGCACAGACCACTTTATATGACTCAGACCACTAAAACAAAGTTAATTCCATTAGAAGCACCTCTAATGGCCAGATTTAATGAGGGTAGCGCTTCTCACCGCCTTCCCCCGTGAAATCAGGCTTTGTCTAATTGAGTTAATTGACGGAGCGCTCCAGTCATACTACTTATTATACTGGTATTTCTAAACCCCCTCCTTTCCTCCTTAGTCCATGGCTTTAATTGCCTTGAACTCAGTTCAAAAGCCAAACGCCGTTTCGCCTTTATTCTGCCTGGCTTGCCAAATCACGGGGCCCTGTGGGGTTTGTGTAAGGGCTGGGAGAAGCCTTCATTAGGGGGATTAGTATTGGACAAATCCTCATCGTTAGCACATGACCCAAAGTGCACAATGAAGCAGATAAAGTTTCTGGCTTTGTTTCAAGAAGGCCAAACCATCTTCATTATCTGGGCTCACGTGCTCCAGCCAAGCTTGTGACCTCAGACTTCCTGGGGAGTCAATAGAGACAGTGAGCTCGTCGTCAAAGGCCCTTCATAGACCAGCCGCACTGCTAACTGCAGCTCACTCCTGACTGCTCCCTGATGTGCGTGAAAGACCACTACAGGCCATCACACAACCTGACAAATAAAGAAACATTTATTGAGGGCTGACGAACAAGGAATTGCTTTGTTCCACAATTCACAATGAAGGAGCCTCTTCCCTCCAAATAATAAGGTACTATTCTCCTATTCAGCAGGTCTCTGCAGCAGATTTTTTTTTTTAATCACACAAAGTACCATGCCACCAGAAATTCAAAATTGTCATTGTCTAATTATCAAGAGGCAGTGGGACAATTTGGAGCAAGGGCTTACAAATGATGTCTTTTGGTTTATGTTAAAGTTAAGCATTGTCCAGCTTCAGTCTAGAAGGCAACGCCTCCCCAGTGCTTCCAGAGGCAGCGAGGGGAGCGTCCAGATGGGCAGCGGTGGCCACCTGTGAGAGCATCCATACTCCCTCCTCATGGTAGAAACAGGACTCTCTTAGTGCCATAAGGGTCTGTGCAGACAGCTGATGCAAAACTGCTCCAGACAGTGTCTAAGAATGCTTTCTATTTGGGCATGGAGATACAGAATGTTATGTCCCAAAGCAAATTCCTAGGTTAAAAAAAATTTTATATAGCTGTTCCCACCCCATGTACTTCTGTGTCACCCCTATGATATTAAGTTGCTGTGACTAATTAAATGTTGGACTTACACAGAAATGTATGCTCTCAACTCTGACTGTACACCGTTGCCAGTTTGTAGCCCAAGCCCACTGAAGTGGAATCTCTGAGGGTGTGGCCCAGACGTCAGCATTTTTTCTGAGTTCTCTAAGCCATTCTAATGTGCAGTCTGAGGTGAGAGTCACTGGGTCAGAATAAAGCAAGGCTCCAAAGGAAATGCTGGAATCAAGTCAACTGAAATATTCCATGTGTGTTCATTTCCTCGAGCTGCCTTAATACATTTCTACTAACAGTGGCTTGAAGAAGAAACGTATTCTCGCACAGTTTTGAAGACCAGAAGTCCAGACTCAGCGTGTCGTTAGGACTGCGCACCCTCTGAAGGCTCTAGGGGAGAATCCTTTTTGCCTCGTCCAGTTTCCAGTGGCTGCTGCCCTTCCTCAGCTTCCTTGGTTTGAGGCCACATCATTCTAATCTCTGCCATAGGACGTGACCTCCTCCTCTCTGTGCTTTAATATTGCTACCCTAGACGGAAGCCCTAAGCAGGTCAGAACAGAGTTAAGAAATCCTCATGTTGATACAGGAGCCTAGCTAAAGTAATAATTTGGGGTCCCTCCTCCCATTACATTAACTGAGTTATCTTTTGGTATCAAGCCATAAGCCTACATTATAAGGCATGTCATCGCAAAATACCGTGTGAAACTTGTAAGGCGTTTTTCTATCATCTCATATACATCACAATGTCATTTTTATGAGGATCCATGGGAGAGATTTCTCTCAGGGTTCAATTTCCAGAAAAACGGTGCTTCCCCGTAGCAACTAGCTTGCCCTGAACTTTTAGATCCTATGGATCTTAGGATACTGTCTCTTTCTTTGCCTTGACCATTTATGACGCTTAGAACCAAATTCGTAGCCCCATGTCTAGCAACTGATTCACACAGTGTTTTGTTCGATATTTGCTTTCCCATATGTTCCTAGATATGGAAATTCCTATTTTATCCTTTTGCAAATTTATGTATTTCTCCAGTCTATCTCAAGTTCCTTGAAAAAGGAGGCAGAGAGATGTATAGATGCACACATACATTTCTGTGTAAGTCCAACAGTAATAAACTCCCAGCCAAGTTGTTGGTAAGCAAGCCGAGGCTTAGAGAAGAATTCAAAAAGAATTCCTGAGAAGCTGGTGTAAGTAATCAAACATCTAAGGACATAAGCCTAGAAGATCTCAGATCATGAGTATGGCTGTAATTAAACATTGCCTTATTTACAAAAACAAAAGTCTTTGCTAGAAACCGAAGAGCAGAATCCAGGAGGAAATACCTCCTGGGCGCATTGAGACAATTTGTTGTCGGCGGAAGCCGTAAAATCAAGGACTATTCTATAGAATGTTCTGAAAGCCAATAAAGAGAGGCAGCTGTATATCACAGAGGGAAATAATCTGAGTAGAAAAGTGCCTTATCAGAAAGCAATATATTTTATCCTTTTCTTTTACAGTTGAGGCAAGAATCTGAATGAAAATTGATGTTCTGCACACGTTGATTTTGCATCTCAGCATCTAGTACCATCTTGCACATAAAAAGGACTCAATGCGCGATTCTTTAGAGAATTTGTGGACAATGCAGGGTGGACATGCAAAACCTTGGAGGTAGGACGCAAACCATGCCTTCGCTACATTCAAAGGAGGAAGAGACGGCTCAGAGCCTGGTAAGCAATCAAATGGGGTGGTAAACATTTTAGAGCCATAGCTAAGATTAATACAGAGAAATCAATCATCTGCCTCTTTCTTCTGCTTGTCAGCGAGTTGCCTGCTCCTTTTCCATGCCCCTGAATGTGAAAATCCTCCTTGTTTTTAGCCCTGCTGGACTCCTCTGTCTGATGCTTTTTGATCTATTTTCTGCAGCCACATCATGGGGAAAAGAGATTATTTTTTTCCCCTGTGTCCAAATTGTTTCGTAAACGCTGGGCATCTGTCCTGATAAGGGTTTTGCTTTCTACATCTAAAAGCTTTTCTTTTCTTTGTGGTGTGAATTGTTCTTTGGAGGAATCAAGGGTTAGGAATGGGCTGTGTGGTTTCTGGTATTTCAGTTGGATGCATTTTTTCCCTCTTGCATGTATTTTTTGCTAGTCTATTCTTAAGGCTGTGTTTATACATCAAACAGGTTTTTTAATTTCAGATTTTGCATCACTCATCTTTATATCCATCTCAGTTCCTTGTTATGCACACTTGTGCCTTCTAATCTTTATTTTATCATTTTGGCTTTTATCCTTCATCCTGGTAATGGGTATTCAATATGGAGTTTTTTATATGTACCTCTGTAATTTAATGACTGACTTGGGTAAGTAATATAGCTACTCCCCCTTCAAAATACAGATCTGTGGAAGGGAGAGATTCACTCCCCTTTCTGCCCACTTCTGATCAAACCCAACAAATACCACCTATATATTTGTAAGAGGTTGTATGGCCTGACAATGTAAATTTTTTACACAATTTTAGTACTAACAGATCCACCATAGTCTATAAATGTACAATTAAGACAGTTTGGGATCTGCAAGGATCACCAAAATATAATGTCAAGAGAAAATCATAAGATACATAACTGTGAATTCACTATGCTAACACAGTGAGGGAGTGTATGTGTATGTGTGTGTGTGTGTAAATATGTAGAATATACACAAGAAACTGGTGGAGTGGCTTTCTCTGGGAAGGGGGCCTAAAGAGCTGGGGAACCAGAGAGAAAAGGAGATTTGTTTTCATTCTATATTTTTGTACATTTTGAATATGGAACCATTCACATGTAGTACTTACTTTTTAATCATAAATTTTAAAATTTAAGTTAAAAAATTTAGAATGATGGGTACTTGTGAGGATGACACTATATAAAGGAACCTCCTGTAAGTAGTAGAAACAATATGGCTTTGGCATATCACAGATTTGTTTTATCGGTCTTGGTCCTGCTACTTACAAATTCAATGGCCTTGGACAAAGTAGTTATCCTCTCTCGGTCTCAGTTTCCTCATCTATAAATCACATTCACACTTACACACATACAAACATCTAATCCAAGAATCTAATTAGAAGTCCTTTTCATAATATATTTCCTCTGGAAACTAAATCAATACTTCTAACTTCAGCACATGGAAAATATTCTTATCTATTATGCAATATTACTACCCAGAAATGAAGGGAACTGTTCTTTCCTAGATTCTGCTGAATTAATTAAATGATGATGTGCTATGTTTACAGGTACGCTATTCTCTTAGCCTTAGAACTTAGGAATCTCCATCATTAATTATAACAAATATATGTGTGGATAAAGCTTAAATAAGCCACAGAGGCCGGGAAAACCAGATTTGAGGGAACTCATTAATTTCAAGGGCTGACAAAGATGAATTCTATCATTAAAAATAAGAAAAATAAAATTTAAAAATTCTTCAAAAAATACTTGACCTGAATCTGATACTTATACCAAGCTCATTATTTTATCAGTGCTGTCCAAAAGCATCTAACCATGGTGGCTGACGCCGTCTTTGGAAAATATTTTTTCTTATTTAATCTCATCTAAATTAATTCAGTTACTTTTAATAGGCCAAGTGCACACACACACACACACACACACACAAATATACATAGCCCAAAAGAATAACTC